AAAATCTTGATGGACGAGCCGATTATTCCATCATTTCCCAGCCCCTGTGAGTGCAATGCACCAGAACAGTTGCTGCTTTTTTCGCCAGTGACAAAGACAAAAGAAGCTGCACGCTGCATGCCTTGCATAGCCTCCCATTTCAGTGGAAACCAGCATTTCCTAAGTACTGCATCTTGGAGCTCAAAGGAGAGGAAAGCTTCAAGGAAGATAGTTCTTCCTTTATACGCAAGACGCCTGGTGACATTCATAAATCATTCAGCCTGCTATTATAATCCAGAACAACAAGCTGGCGTCACCCATAAATACAGAAGGTTGTGTGAAAGATTAGCAGAACAAAAGCAATACAGGAGTCACTAAAACACCTAGATGATAAAATGCTTGAAAATATCTCCCCAAATTTCCCTGTGGCAAGACAGTGATTGAATCATAGAATCATAGAATCACAGAATGTTCTGGGTTGGAAGGGACCTTAAAGACCACCTAGTTCCAACCCCCCTGCCATGGGCAGGGACACCTTCCACTAGACCAGGTTGCTCAAAGCCTCATCCAGCCTGGCCTTGAACACTTCCAGGGATGGGGCACCCACAGCTTCTCTGGGCAACCTGTGCCAGTGCCTCACCACCCTCTCCATGAAGAACTTATTCCTGATCGAGCCGTAAATCAAAGCTATTATTCTTTGGGGGATATTTGGGGAGAAGGCAGTACAGTTTGTAGCTAAGTATGTAGCTTCTCGTCTAAAGGAGAACTGCAGCTCTTACATTAGTGGGGAGGAGCAGGTAACTGATCGCTGCCCTCAATTTTTTCAGATGCACTTCCCTCTCCTTCTGGCAAGAAAAGCAAAGCAAGCCCTGTTTTTAACAGGATCAACATAAATGAATAGAATGTGATTTTAATGCTAACTTTCATTTGATCAGCTTTTAGCTCTTCCTGTGTTTTATTTACATTGCTAATAACTAAAACAGTGGATTGTGTTGTATGGATAGATGAAATCACTGTTTTTTCAAACGTAACTTTGAGCAGCACATAGAGAAATATTCACGTTATGCTTTGTACAACATCACAGAAAACAGTATTTATTCAGAGCCAATAACTTGGGTCCATTATGTACTCCTCAGTGATGATACATGAGAAGCATTGACAGAGAAACAGACTGTCCAGCAAGTATTTGCTTTGAAGTCCACACAAAAAAATCTATACTGGTCACTGCATTATGAAATTTTGAAATCTACCAGGTTTTGCTCTCTCTCTTTGTCCTGCCTCTCCATCAGTTTCATCTGAACATGCCTGTGGTCTGCAATAAGCAGTGGGATGAAACCACCTATAATACAGAACAAGAAAAATAATACCTAACACCAGACTAAGAACAGTGAGGATGCTCACAGTCGTAAAATGTATTTCCTTGATGATGGAAGGTTTCCAAAATACATATACAAACAAAACACCTAGAGTTACAAGAGTGTGAGTGGCATAATAAATAGAAATGCAAACTTTTGTTTTTCTCCCCTTTATGTTAAAAAAGGTAAAAATTAGAATAATTCCAACAACAGTTCTGTACAGACATTCCATCTTCTTGGATTTACAAAATGCTGTATGTTGTTTCCAAGTCCAGATGAAGCCACAGATCCAAAGAAATACCAGCAGAATTACAGAACTTCTAACGCTTAGAAGAGTGATCAGTGAAAAACTGAGTATCCAGGAAGTGATGGTAAGCAGTTTATAGAAGAGATACACTAACTTGGGAAGCACATGAAATTCATCTTTATCAGGCAGAGATTTTCTTAATGATATCTGATAATCAACCGTTGAAAAGGAGATACCACAAAAAGACATAATAATGGCAGCATCTAAACAAAACACAAGGATAAACATTAAACTGAAGAAAAAGATACTTATTTTACATTATAATTTCTGAATGAACTTTTGAAAAAGTTCATGCTTTCTTATCGCTTTCTACCAACTTTATATTTCCTCTGCGCTCCTGAAAATGTCACCTTAATTTTAAGGCTCAGTTTAGTTACCTAAGTCCACGCATCTAGTACTTTTTGCGATGCTTGTGTTATCCTGCCCAGCCTCTGGCTGTTGATGGTCTTGCCTAAGCTGTGTGTCACATTTGCCATCTCCATACTCAGATGACGGAGAAATTCCCTACATATTGCAAACAGCCCATAAAAACTTCAGCAGCTGATAGTCACTCTGGGGTGTCTGTAATGTAAAAATCTCTAACTTAAGACTTGACTCTTCAGATGGTCCTGCTTGAGATTCATCTGACCATTTTGTCTGAGCGCCCGTTGACTCCACGGACTGCGAAGGAACACCAAACACCAGTGCGGGTCTCTCCAGTTGGTTAGATAAATTCCAGCCCTGAGTAAGCCAACGTCTTGCCAATAATGTTACACGTTCTAGAGCTGGAAATGACACAGCTGCTGTCTTGCATCTTAGGGTTGAACTGGTATCTCTTCATCATATCATTCTGCAGAGATATCCTGAGGTGTTTTCTGACTCCGTCTTTCATAGGTAACTTGTGGATGATGGTGGGACAGCTCACAGGGCAGCTCTAAATACATTACTGATTTCAAGATGCCCAGTTAGCAGTTGTAACGGAAACTGCAAGCAAAAGCACGCAAACTGCTCTGCAAATGATATGCTATTTGTATTCAACAGCTTATTTTCAAGTGATGTTTCATTATGTTTCTATTTGATATCATGACTTGTTATAGTGAAATCTTCCTTGGCATGGGTTTAGCAGAACGGACCATCTACTAGACAGAAATTCTAACTAAATGCAGAGTAATTCTGCAGTGGAGTGTATGTTTTCCAAGGTATGTTGTGTTATCACATGAGTTATCATTTTAGGCAAGACACACAACTTGCAAATTAAGGAGAAAAGCAGACTCACATGGATAGAAATTATTTTCGCCATGTTGCATGAGGATGTAAATCTGGACAAAAAGCTGTGGTGTGGTCTCAAGAAAAGTCTTGAACACTCTGAGCATGTTAATATCGGTCACTACATCGATGGCTTGTTTTTGAATGAAGTTGGAAAGGTCTGTTTCTGATGCATCTCTGCTGCTGTTTTGTTTAAACACAGCTTGGCAGCCATACTTCAAAGCAAACCAATACCTATGAAAGAGGAGACTTGATTAGACAGCATTTTTTAAAAGTGCAACTCAATAAAATGACATATAGCCTAACAAGGATTTTTTTCCCATTTCACTCTCCATTCACATTTTATCTTTGAATGTAATCCAGCACCTTCTGCTAAGATAAAATTTAGTCCAATATCTGTCTGGTACCAGTGCTATCAGATAATAATTTATGAACAGTGATACCAATGCAATGTAAAAACTGTTAGAACAGAATGAGACTTGCCTGAATAAAGATTACAAGCAACATCCAGCTGTGAACATCCACCTCTATATAAGTATAACACAGATTCATACGCTCCAAGGTTAAAATCTGATGAATTGCAAACATATGACAAGCTTCTTTTAAAAAAAAAAAAAAATCACTGAAGTGTTATTTTCTAAACACTCAGGATGACTTTCATTTCAGAAAATGATTTTCAAGACACATGAATTCCTAGTTTGACAGATTCTATTAATAATCTGAGTGGTTTTACATGAATAAGCCATTTGCCTTGGCAAATGAGTGCACCTGAATGACTTTTAGAACGGTTCTGGTTTATTTTCAATTAAGCCTAAATGAACATTTTCTCTAAAATGTAATTAGTCACAACTGCTGTGCATTCTGTATGGTAAAGAACATTTTCTGTTTGGGATCTCTCTAATACCATGTAAAGCCTTCCATGCCATCCCGCACAACATCCTTGTCTCTAAACTGGATTTGACATGGATTTGACCAATGGGCCGTTCAATGGACAAGGAATTGGCTAGATGGTCACACTCAGAGAGTGGTGGTCAATGGCTCAATGTCTGAGTGGAGACCAGTAACGAGCGGCGTTCCTCAGGGGTCAGTGTTGGGCCCTGTACTGTTAATATCTTCATCAGTGACATGGATGATGGCGTTGAGTGCACCCTCAGCAAGTTTGCCGACAACACCAAGTTGTGTGGCGCGGTTGACACGCTGGAGGGAAGGGATGCCATCCAGAGGGACCTGGACAGGCTGGAGAGGTGGGCCACTGCCAACCTCATGGAGTTCAACAAGGCCAAGTGCAAGGTCCTGCACCTGGGTTGGGGCAATCCCAAGCACAAGTACAGGCTGGGTGGAGAGTGGATAGAGAGCAGCCCTGAGGAGAAGGACTGGGGGGTACTGGTGGATGAAAAGCTGGACATGAGCCGGCAGTGTGCGCTGGCAGCCCAGAAAGCCAACCGTATCCTGGGCTGTATCAGGAGAAGTGTGGCCAGCAGGTCGAGGGAGGGGATTCTCCCTCTCTACTCTGCTCTTGTGAGACCCCACCTGGAGTGCTGCGTCCAGCTCTGCGGCCCCTGACATAAGGATATAGACCAGTTGGAGCGAGTCCAGAGGAGGCCACGAAGATGCTCAGAGGGCTGGAGCACCTCTGCTATGGGGACAGGCTGAGAGAGGTGGGCTTGGTCAGCCTGGGGAAGAGAAGGCTCTGGGGAGACCTTATTGCAGCCTTCCAGTACCTGAAGGGGCCTACAAGGAAGCTGG